GGTTGTGACTTAAGATCTATAAAACCATCTTACACACTCTCTATAGAGAGGCCTCATTTATATGGTAAGGTCAGATGCCATCCATAGTTATTTAGCTGAGATAAATTTTATATTTATCTTGCATGAGTTTTTTTTTTTTTTTTTTAAGATGGTCCTTTTAATATGTGAAATTTGGATACAAGTGATACAAATAGAAATCATATTGCATTGTTGGTGCAGCACAGCGAGTGGACGCACCAGCTGTGTCTGAAATAGGCCCTGCAGGCAAGCCAACTTGCACACTCACTGGAGCAGAGGCCAAGCACTCACCAAATTCTGCTATAGGTAATTTTGATTAAAAAGCATGAGATGTATATTCGAAAGCCAGTAGTCATGTGAATGCTGCTCTTCATACATGATAAAAAATGTGATGTATATGATTAATTATGTGATTCAAGGACCTCACTCAGATGGCACCAGGCGTCTTCACTTAGGCAATGTTTGCTGCCTTGGTAGTGTAATAGGGTCAGGTCATTTCTGTACGATAAGTTCATATGGAAATGCAAAATTTGATGGAAAAGTTGCTGGTGGGATAGGGCCTTCAGCATGCCCACAAGATTGGGCATGGAGTCAGATCACTATCAAATCTAACTGATCATTCTGGCAATCCTGTTCCTGCAGAACCTCATTCAACCCTTGATACTTGTACCGGAACTGTCTCTCTCTCCCCAGCAAACTGCCCAGTCGATACAAAGATTGGTCAGACTTATGGAGAAGACTTATTAGGATGCCTCAAAGACCAAGATGTGAATCAGTACATTGCTACACCATTCCTCCTAGAGGTCACGAAAGAACCGACCAACATTGCCAAAATTACTTTCCTACACATGACCTTCCCTTACGTATCTACATTGGTGGACAATCCCTCCCTGTTCGACCATACCAACCCCCTCCCCATCAATGTCAAAACTGTTGCTTTGGACATCCTGCCAAACACTGCCGTTCCACACCGATGCCCCATATGTGCCCAACCTTCATAACCGATCAAACTGCTCTGCACAAACACGTACATGTGCTAACTGCGGCCCCCATAATGTATTTTATAGAGGCTGTCCCACTTACAAGTTTGAATCTGAGTAGCAACTCTCAGATACAAAAATGGTCTCACTTACGTGAAGCCAGACAGGAAGCACCGACAAGGTTTCTCTCATACTCCATACTCTAGTAACATCGCTCGCTCTGCCCCCCCCTCCACCCCAAGATGTCCCCACTTCTACATTCTACCTCCCTCAGACCAATTCTTTTGCCACTCTAAATCCAGACACCCCAATCTCAACACAGCTCCAATCTCAACTACAGCCCCAACACCATCCCCTCTCCTCCCCGCACTACCCGCAGTAGACAGACTAAACGTTCTAACCCTTCTTCCCCTACGCACACTCACCTCCACCTACCTTTACCTTTATTCCTCAGACACCAGTCTCCTCTTCCCCCCTCATAAGAAAACCTTTGTCCCACAAAACTCTTCCCCATTGCAGAAACTATGGAAGACATTCAAAGCTAATATGCTGAGACACAAATTCCATAACTCATGCTTCCTACACATTGAAGTGATTGCCGATATTCATACCCCTCCTACTCATATTCCCCTACACCCCTTCCTCCTACTCCCTCTCAACACAACCTAACCCCCTCAATTCCGTCCACCACCGATATCATCCTCCTATCCATCCCCTGATATCCATCCCCCTCTTACTCATAGCACCCTACACCCCTTCCTCCTAATCCCTCCCAAGACAACACATCCCCTTCAACTCAACTATCCATCCTTCCGATATCCATCCTCCTACTACTAATTCCCCCCACACCACTTCCTCCTACTCCCTCCCAACACAACCCACCCCTTCAACCAACTATACGCACATTCTCCCTCCCTCCATCCCCTCTATCCTTTCCACTCCCTCCCGGATACACACGGAATCACTCATGTCACGACATGCCCTTCCCCAGATTCCCTACCTCCTGATACCCCTCCTTTACACCCCCCCCCCGATTCCTACATTGGAATATTCACGGTTTCTGTTCTCACAGACCAGACCTACGTCATATCCTTGCTTCTTATAAGAACCTGTTCTCTTTCCTCAGATACATGAATATCCTTCCCTTGATCTAATTCCCTGACCTAAACCACCATAACCCTTTCCCTCATCAAACCCCTTACCCATCTTCAACTTTCCAACATTACTCTAGATATTTGATGCATAGCAACTATCACCTGACATCACCCTTTACTATACCTTCCTATAGTGCTATATGACCTTAGATGTTTAGCACATATATTTCGCTTTTAACCATTAACTAATTAACTAATTTGATGGAGAGAGAATGTGGTCTCGCCAGGATAGTCTGGAGTCGAAAATTACTCCAAGAAACTTTCCCAAAGAGCGGTATTGTAGAGATGCCGTATAAGAAGAGGGGAGGTTGGGGTTTTGCACGTTTGCGTGAGAAGAGGATAGAAAGGGATTTGATGGTGGAGAAACGAAAGCCTTGATTAGGAAGATGCTGATGATATTGCTGACTGAAGGAGTTGTTGGAGAGTGTGTATGGATGGACTGGAGGCATAGATGATTATGTCATCAATGTAAAGTGATGATTGGGTCCCTGGTGGTAATACTGATAATAATTTTACAGGTATAAAAAATAAGGTAGTGCTGAGGACACTGCCTTGTGGAAGCCTTCGATTTCAGGGTAAGAGGATGAAGTGGAAGAAACAATTTTGACTTCAAAGGTGTGATTGGAAAGGAAAGATTTAATAAATACTCTCATGTTTCCGCGTACGGTATCATATGCTTTTTAGGTCGAAGAATACTGCTATGGTGGATTCATGGCGTGCAAATGCGGATAATATATAGGTCTCAAAATGAGCAAGGGAGTCTGCTGTACTTTGATATGACAGAATCCGAACTGTGAAGAAGAGAGAAGGCATTTGATTCTAGATACTACATTAGTCGTAAGTTTACCATTCGCTCTAGTAGCTTGCATGAGCAGCTTGTTAGAGCGATGGGGCAGTAATCTTATTGTGGGTACCTGACTTATTTTGTTTTAAGAATGGAAGAACAAGGGCTTCGTTCTAGTGAGGGGGGAAATATCCTGTTGTCCAAATTTGGTTATAAATCTTTAAGAGAAAGGATAAAGAGGACGATGGGAGGTGTTTGAGCATACGGTAAGTGTATACCATCAGGGCCCTCATGGGTATTGCGGCATGATTGTAAGGCAGTGTGTAATTCTGAGGAGGGAAAGGGGAGTATTATATGGTTCATCTGAAGAGAGGGAAAATGTGATAGGAGTTCGTTCTTTGGTGGTCTTAATGGAAGCGATATTTAGAGAAAGATGAGAGTCGCTACTAACTTGGCTGAAATAACCACCTAGTTTATTAGCAACTTGGAGAGGATCTGATATGTGGGTATTTCTGATATAGAGGACTCGAGAGAATGTTTGCCTGATATTTTGTGAATGCGTAGCCAGATAGCTGATACAGATGTGGATGTGACTGAGGAGACGTGTGTTTTCCAGCTCGTTATTTTACTATTTCGTATTGTACATCGCAGATGGGCCAATGCTTTTTTAAAGGATATAAGAGCAGATAGTTGGTATGCAGTGTCTCGTTAATATCTGTAGGTATTCCACGCTGTACGTTTTTGACGGAGCACCTTAGTACAATCTGAGTTCCACCATGGAACCAATTTAGACGTATAACATCTAGTGGTTTGGGGAATGGCTGTAGGCATCTCATAAGACATGTGTTGAAAACATCTGTATTTTGTCTGAAATGGATGATAATGGAGATGGGTGAGTTATAGTTACGTGAGAAGTGAAAGTTTGCCACTCAGCTCTATTAAAGCACCATCTTGGAGGGTTAGGAAGGGGATATATGAAGTAAGAGTAAGGAGGGTCGGAAAGTGGTCACTATAGGGGTATTGGTCTAGGACTGACCAATGATAGTCTAAGTGAAGAGAAGGAGAGCATAGAGAGAGGTCTAGGCATGGAAGATTGAGTACGCATGTCAAAATGTGTGGAGCAGTCAGTGTTAAGGATAATGAGGTCAGTTGTGGAAAGGAAATAATCTAGGGATCTACAACGAGAGGTTGTGGTGGTACCACCCAGTGTGTGACGGCAGTTGAAATCAACTGTTATAATGAAGGGTGGTTGTAGTTGAGAGAGTAAGGTTTTGAAAGCATTAATGTTAATAGAAATAGAGGGGGGAAAGTAAACTAAAATAACTGTAATCCATTGTTGGAGAAAAATAAAAATAATAGTGCAAGGGATAGTGGTTTGGATAGAGGGTCTAGTATATGCAGTTTTTGATGAATTAGTATTGAGGATTGAGTGATAGAGTGAGGGGATAATATAAAGTGATAATTTGGAATTGGTAGGGGGGATGTGTTAAGGTGGTTTCTTGTAGACACATGATGGATGGGTTGTAGTAGATATGAGATATCGGAGATTCTGAGAGAACGGAAGCCTCAATGTTCCACTGTGGTAAAGCCATGATTAATCGAAGGGTGATTGCAATAGGTATGGTTGTCTTAATAGTAGGGGATTAGGTATCTAAGGGTTGAGGTAAAGGATCAGGAGTAGGTGAAGGAGCAGTGTCCTGGGGTTCAATAGGGAAGATGGGGTATTGCAATAGAAGAGATTCAGTGTGTATCCAGGGGGAGTGGGAGGGATAGTAGGGAAGGATAGGGTTTTGATGGGGGTTTTTGGTTTAGGTGGTTGAGAGGATGTTTGTGTAGACACATGGGGTTTTTGAGGGGGTGACTTGGGTGGTTGACAAGATGAGGTATGTTAGGAAGGGGTAGGGGATATCAGGAGGAAGAGGATGGATGTCTGTAATCACTCTGATTGTAGGTCGAGTGGAGATAGAGGTATTAGAGGGTGATTGAGAGGGGTGTTACTTTCTTGGGTTATGTTCAGGGAAGGTAGGGTTTTTGGTTTGGGTAAGGGTGGGGGAGTGGATAGGG